ATTATTGTTATTATTATTATTATTGTTATTATTATTATTATTATTATTATTATTATTGTTATTATTCTTATTGTTATTATTGTTATTATTTATTATTGTTGTTATTATTATCGCTTTTATTATCGCTGCTAACATTTTTATTGTTATTACTGTTGACATTACTACTACCATTACTGTTACATTACCGTTCATGTGTTAAGGTTTGTGAATGCTCCAATCTGAGCTTTGCAAAAAATTGCCAAAGAGTCGATCTCTGAATCCCATCCAATGGGATGAGGAGGAAGAAGAGTGCATATTGCGCGGGGCAGCTTTACTGGCCTTTTCAGCTGATTTGAATTAATCTGTTTTGAGAAGTGATATGGCGATGATGAATGGTTCCGAGTGTGATAGGGCAGTGGTGAACGTATACACAACAGCATCCACGGTGGAGCAGTGCTCGCGCACCGAACTTCTGGCCTTCGTCAACAGCTTCATTGGGGTACGCCTTTGTTTCTGTACCAGAACTTGCCTTCCAGTTCAGCGTTCATTTCGAGCCGGCGTTCCTGCTCACCCTAAATCAATACTCTCTCGCTAATTTTAGTTCTTGTCTTTAGAAAATTTGCTAAACTTTCACGTAATTTTGCATCGTTTTCTCAGCTTCTTTCGGAGCTCATTGGTGGGTTATATACATTTGTACTGACGAAGTCCAACTGTGGTAGCGGTAAGAAATGTATACGACTTAATGGATCGAAACATTTCTTACCTAATTTAATACTTCTTTTTCCCATCCTTCCTTTCTTACCCTTTCCATCATTCTTATATTTTTCCATCATCATTCTTACATTTTTCTTTTAACCTTAAATTGGCATCAGAACAGTGCTTTTTTTCAAGGACTTCCTGCTTGATAGAACCAGAGCGTTGCCGCTAGTTTTGTTAAATCAGGCTATGTATCGTTAAAATTAGTTTGCAGCAACGCCATCATCAAAATTTGCTTGTCCCTTGACCTACTGTTAGCCTGGCAAAAAAGAAAATGAGGCTTCTGTGGGATAGGAGGCGAACAGAACAAACTTATATAAAGAGCTTTTGAAATTTGCTTAAATTGCAGACGAGGTTCACGCATATTGAGGAGATGGCCACCGGGGCCGCGTATTGCCAGCTAACGGACGTACTTTTCCCGGGTAGATTACCGCTTAAAAAGGTGAAATTCAACTCGAGCAAGGAGAGTGATTGGATTTCCAACTGGCACATTCTGCAAATGGTGTGGGATAGAATCGGAGTGCGAAAGGTATTGTTACCTCATGCATTTTGACATTTTTCTTGCAATATTTAGCAGTGGTGAAGATTAACAACTAAAGTTCTGAATAGAAGGTGTTACGATAGGGTTGTCCGTAAAACTGCTTAGGTAATTTTTCTCATGTCTTTGCTTAGGCAAAATCGATTTGGCTTATGACTGTTTGGGACTGTTTATGGAACTGCCGAAAGTAGAGTGGCCGTGAGAATGAGCAGTATCATAGTGCTGTTAATAATGTTTCGATGCAACAAATATTTTAATTCAGAATGTGCCTGTTGAACGCCTAATTCGAGCGAAATTTCAAGACAACTTGGAGT